TTTCGTACGAGTGGTCGCTTATGATAGACCAGTTGTAAAATAAAAGAAAATTGAGCCTGATGCCAATAAGTTCATTTGTAAAGAAAATAAACAATTTTCATGCCTTTTTACGATCTTTGATCGTTTGAATTAAATCTTAATATAAGTGTCACTAACTTATGAAAAACACATAAAAATTTACCAATATAATCATTCATAATGACAGCAATTTTAGTTTTATTACAAGAATAACTATAAAATCATTATCTTATCAAAACACACAATAATTCTGTTTATTAGAAATCAGAATTGTTTTCAAATTACGTAATGTTTCCTTAAATAGGCAAATTGGGGAAGACTCATTACGAGATTTGTTTGTAATAGTAATTTCGGTAAATCTACAAAACTCTATGCATTATTTTGATGTGCATTTTTAAAAACAAAATATATGAGTATATACGGGTTTTCGGATGAAACAGGACAAATTATGTATAATACAAAAAAACTGCTCGCAATATTAAAGTAACGAGGTAAAGTATATACCTTCAATAACAATATTATTTAAGTAAATAATGGCTTATAGGGGTAAGGTAATATAAGGTCGTTAATGTGAAAAATGATAAAAACTAAGCATACACCCTTGACACGTCTGCAGTTCCCTACTAATGTCCAGTCGTTACTTTTATTAATATTCTCAAAGCTACTCGAATAGAATATTAACATCTGCAGTCCTCCACCATACTTGTACTGCTCGTTCAGTGTTTAAGTATTGTATTACTATGTTTACAACATTTAAATACAGATACAGTTTATAATAATTCATTCTTACACAACGACAACAACAATGACGAACATAAAAACAACAACAACAAACACAACATTGCTTGGAACAATGATAAATATCAGCCTTTTATTTGAAAGATAATATTATTGCTATTTTAATTGAATACTTTAATCGTACATAGTTGAAACTTTGAAAGTACTTCTGATTGAACCGAAAAGGATAGATTTTAATTTACGATTCATTGATATACGTGCTTGTTTTGATAGTATACGGTGTATTTGAGTGGTTAAAGTGGAAATCATAAGGTCTCTGGTTCGATTCTGAGAAAAGTCAGTAGTTTGTGATGGTTGAACTGGGATCATCTATATTAGATAATTAACTTAAAAAAATGATCCTGACCAAAGAAACAACTAATCATTGTTAAACAAAGACACACATATTATCCCACCTCATTATACTTTACCTTACATTCATGTTTAGCCTCCAAACAACCTTCAAACAACTTAACCTTCTCAAAGTTGGTTTTACCGAAGCAGAAGCAACATTCCGCGCGTAATACATTTGGTCAAAGGTCTTCTTATAATAACAGCTGTTCGAAACTGCAACACGAATTACTTAAACTGTAACTAATAGAGGAATCAGATCCAAAATGTTCAATATGACACTATTTTGTTCCTACAAAAGTTATGGAGCTTTAAATGTCAAAGGATATTTTAAATATCGATTTGATGATAAAAGTGTCAAAACATTTGGATTATAAAATTACCTTGTAATATAAAATCTAACGTCCACGCCACTTTCTGGGGCACTCTGTATATTTCAATAGTAATATTAATACATTGTAAAAGTGCAATTTAAAACAGTAGCTGCAGAAGCAATTATGATACTCTAATAAATGTGACTGCAAAGACATCAATATTGACTTGTTTATAAAATATATCTTCTGCAGTTAGAAGATCATTTGAAAATTGCAGCACTTTATATTCCAAGATGCAATCATTATTTGTTGTAACAACAGTAAAATGGTTGCCATGGATTACTGAAAGGGCGTTAACCCTTAAATACATTAAAATGTAAATGGAATATTATCATTAAGAGAATATCATTATAAAACTCATAAAAAATCACAGTACTAACTTGGATTACAAGCGTATTAAAAAATTGTGACGAATTAGTAAACGAATTGCTTTAATTAACACTGCCTTTAGTAATTGCTATGGCGTTAGTAGTAATGTTTGTAATAATTAGGTGTGTAAGTTTAAAATGATGGTTTCTAAGAGTTTTCGAAGCCAGGTGTTAATTAAGAACTTTACTTCCGTTTTTGAGGAACAGCTTTTAATATTTTCTTAACCGACCTCTGCTGCATTCATCGTCGGATTCATTAAGCAAGTTTATCTCTTTTAGTGTACTTCTGTAGAACTTCTGATTTCACAAAGAGTTAGAAAACGGAATAATAATGTAAACATAATGTAAACAGTAATATGTTCTTGTGCCAAATATATACTATGATACAAAAGTAATAATGCAACTTCTACAGTTCCATTTTTATTCGAGTTCAGATGACAGGCTTATTTGATACTTATTTATTCGACCGAATACCATGCCATGTTTATTTTGAATTAGCATTTTAGTAAAGTAAAGAATAAAATAAATAAGATAATTCTTAATTTTAGTAAAGGATAAAATTCAAACAACACTAAAACATTGCTCAACATGGATGCTTCGGATATTAAGGACTCGATTGTTTAGGATGTATCAAACACAAAGGCTGTTTTCACTTTTAAATAATTCATAACATGATACAATGCATCCCTTGATGGCATAGACATAGACTTAAATATAGAAATATATAGACATAGCCAAAGACATGGACTTGGACATAGACATAGACACAGACATAGACATAGTTAATTCATGAATAAGTACAAATACAATGTACATCTCAATCACCAAGGACAGTACCTAGAGTAGTCTAGCAAATTATTCAAACAAACAATTCAATTTGATCCATAGTTATCAGTTAGCATACTTCTTCTGTAAAATATGTGTACAAATAAATTATAATACCATGTTAATAGAATCAGGCAGACAGGAATTCTTGTATACTGCAAAACTCACCTTCCACTAGATATCTCCTCATATGTTTCCCAAAACCATTAGAAACCAACCTTGAACTACACTGTTGTACTGTTTCAGGAAGCTGTAGCTGGAAGAAGGGTCCAAAAAATTCGCATTCCTTACAGAGAGCGTCAGACGATGACAAGGAGTACGAAGATCTCCTCCATGCCTAGTGGGGTATCTATGGCACTGACCAACCGACACTTGGCGACACGTAAACCAGCACAGTAACCAATAGAGAAGCATACGACTACATATACTTAAAACATCAATCATGTATATAACCATCAAACCTCTACCATACGAGCAGTAGGCGTAACGAAGAATAATCGCTTATGCGATATTATTAAGAAGAGTAAACTAGAATTAATTTCTTATGATTTTGGTAGGAATTAGAACCTAATTTTAGAAAATGAACTATCAAAGCTATCTTTGGATTATTCCTTATTTTATTAAAATTTAAACTTATCTCAGCAAACTAGTCATTTATCTACTCAAATTTGTCAGTTTGTAAACTCGGATATACCAAGTTAAACGCACTTAACAAGATTCTTTATCGATAAATTAATGGTTTAAACATTTAGCTGAACATTAAAATTGCTCTTCCATCTTATTAAAAACACTCACATTTCTAATACCTAACCAACTGAAAAATGTTTTGCACCACATAATTTAATTTTTAAAGAATATTGGAAAAAGTTACTTTATAACCACTATGAAAATCTTAAAACCCCTGTGTTATGAATGCCTACGGATTGACGTAGGTATTATAAATCCCTACACAATCACTACAATATAAGTTGGTACTCAAGTATTTAATGAAGACAAATAACAAAGGGTATGTTTCATTTGACCACAATCAATACAAATCTTCTGCAGCAGCCATTAATTCACTTGATCAGGTGTTGGTCTGAAAACAAACCGTCGGTTTTATTGTAATTTATTACTCTGTTCACTTTGTTTTAAAATTAATATTACGGTACTGAATAAACTGCCTACTGAAATACTGCACTTAAAAATTAAATTTGTAACCTAATTAACTACCCTTATTAATAATGTAATATTTTAGTAATATCAATGTTATTTTCCACCTTATTCTTATTAACATTAAATCCTCATATTTTGTCACATTGCTTAGTTTTTTTAGCGTTCCTCTTTTTTACACAGTAATATACATTGTATGACTAATATGAGGTTATAAAAAACTACTTTGTTATTCATACATAAAGACTTAAAAAGCAATTTTTAAACCACTTATAAAGCTTAGGGTAGTTTCCAAAAACTTGTAATAGACTAATGTTAAATGAATGAGTAACAATGCCATACAACATATCTAAACAGCTACAATATACTATTGCGCATCATATTTCTGTTGCAAAGCACGGTATTATAAGATTGTTAAATAATATTAGAAAAGCATAACGTTAATTTTCTTCGGTAGGAAAATCATTGTTACAAAATACAGATCACTTAAGTTACTAAATAATATTTTTTAAGAGTTTTCACTTAAAAACATGGCTGACGGGTAATACAGTTACACAATACCTATTGACCAACTATATCATATATAGGAATTAAATTGGCACCACCTGCTTAATTGTTTCATACCCAGGTATATAACCTACACAACGGCTAGATAGTAGTCACAACTATGTTGTTCTTATTGGTTTTCACGGTGAGTTTAAAATGTATTTGGTAAAATAACTAGCTTGTACAGTGCTGTAGTTACGAATAATCCAATAAATATATTCATAGAAAATTTCTAAGGATTATTTCACACTCTCTATTGAACTGTAAAACAATGGATTTACGTGCAATAATTAATTACGGCATTTGTTTATAGCCTGATTTTGACAATTTTACCAAAATATATTATAACATACACATTTTATGAGAACGTCTAGAGATCCATGTAAAACTTATCTGTATTGAAAAACTTCATCAATTCACAGCCATACTGTTCCCACGTAATCATGAAAATAGTACACTATATTATTAAGAACATGTTAATACAACAAAGATTTAATGCTAAACTCTTGCATTATGTTTTTTCCACTTTTACAATGTTATGTATACACTTCTTCAGTGAGCTATCATCGTTTGTATTGTTGCAGGGGCTTGTGACTCATATATGTGGGGTCAAAGGTAAGACTTATCATCAAAATGATATCAAATCATTTTTACAGACTCTTATAATTAACCTTTAAATACGTTACTCTAAGTTGCATAAGGGGTTTCGAGCTTGATTGAAACATCAGCCTGAAAAGTTGGGATTTCGTAATGAATTCCTAAGTTTTTTTATATTTTTATTTCCAAAATTATATCAAGTTTTAATTTTAGAATATCAAAATTTCGAAAATAAAATTGCTAAAATGTCATTGCTTTAAAAATACCTCATGAGAAGTGTAGCGTACTTGAAAAATTGAGATAGAAAAGTGTATGTGATCTGTGTGGAGGGCCAATTTAGAATTGTTTAAAAGTTTATTAGCGAGGTACACGATGCCTGTACTAAATTCAAATGTTCAAAAGTAAAGTTCTGCGCTGGTGAGGACCTTCGTGATATCCTGATGGATAGTCGATGCTAGTTGAGAGATAGCACACAATCTCGTTTGAGTTAAGATAAGCAGTGAATTCAAGTCCGCAAACGTATGACACTATTATTAGATATTGGAGACCCCGAAAACGTCCATCTTTGTCAGCTGTACAGACGCTACTCAGTCGCGTCACTGCATTCCGAATTGTAAGACTAAAAAAAAAAAAAAAAAAACACGAAACATCGGTCGGTTGTCCATGATTGACAAAAGATTTTAAACATGTGGATAAGCATGAGAGTGTCCTAGTTGGGCAACCGACAATGCGACCGGTGGCGTCGGACGACCGACACCGTCAATCTAAGACAAACATGTTTTTCTTTAGTCTTGCGGATCGTCAGACCACCTATTTCGATTTTAGGCCTTGAAGAGGGCGTTAAAACGATGTTAAAATGAGGCTTTCTTCCACAGAAATTGGCCGCATAATGTTTGGAGTATTATTGTTGAGTCTTTCTTCAATTCGGTGACAATGTAGTTAAATGTATACCTATTGTGGTTTTTAAAAGTCCAAGATACAATTTTAAATTTTCATACATATGATGAAACCCACCAAGTTCATACTTATCCTTAAACATTTTATTTGTAGCACTCCTGTGGTCCAACGATTTCTTCTTATACTAAGCAAAGACTATAAAAGAACTGTCCAGCAGCACGAGCTTGCGTCATTTCTCAACCGATAACATGGTAACAATGGTCGAATGGAGAGGAACTGTAGGAAGAAGCGAATGAACATTGGATGTCACCTGTCGTTATTAATTACAACTATTAGTTTTATGGCAGTAGATTATTTAAATCGTATGATCTGAAGAAAAAAAAAACATTTTCTTTAAAGTTCGTAATATCTAAACTAATTATTATTTTATAAAAATAGTTCTTACGCTCTCGATTTCATTCAAACGCATCGCAATTGAACAATGAACAAAACCTTATCTATTAACCGCACTGAAAATCTAAATCAAAAGACACCAAAAACAACAAACAAAAACAATAAAACAACAATAAAAAAATCACCACCTTCTTTTCCACTCATCAATCATGGAAAAAGTTATAAGGCGTGACAGTAAAACCCGGACGATTTGAAATAAGCATTTTACTCATTAAGAATTAATTTAATTTTGGCTGGAAACAATACCATGGCGTATAAGATGAATGTTAACAAAAAAATTGCTGTGCTGCCGTGTTGTGCTCACCACTTCACACAAACGCATCATAGGCAAACATAGGGTGTTGAACAATGTTACTGATAAATACTCTGCATGATAAAAATTAAACTGGCCTAAATTAAAAATAAATGAAAAAAATAAAAACTTTAATAAGAAATAAAATATAGTATTTTTTGCTTGTGATTTCTATACTAATTTTTATTTTATAAAAAAGTATAGACGTTAAATCTTTATTACTTTAGAACAAATTCAAATATAAAAAAATGCCGGGAATTTAGATGGTTTATTGTTTTTACATTGTCAAATATTGGTAGGCCTATTTATAATTTGCGATTTCAATTAGGAAACAAAACCTCACTTATGACATTCTTATAAAATCATGATTTTCATTAAATAGTACGATTTAAATCCTCCGCTTATTAGTAGATATTTTTATCATCATCTAAAATATCTTTGACCAATCCTTATATTAAAAGGTAACCACTTTGGATTGAATATAAAAACACCCTATGACTTACATTTTATCATAATTATATCTAGTATCTTAGGTCAAAATTATAAGTTCGCTATTCCTGTTATTTTAATTGAGACCCATTCTCAAAATAGTTTTAAGCTCCTTGAATTTATCAACAAATAATTAATTTCTGGGACAGTTTTACATTCGGCATTCTTGCCAAGAGAAAAAAATGATATTTTAAATTTCAATCTTGGCCAAAAAAAATATCACTTGTTAATCAAATTACTTTAAAAGTAGTAATGTTAAGTTATGCTGTATAATATAGTCATTATAAGGGGTTCGTTCTATTTCAAGCGTGAATTACCATCAAAATGATTAAATTACTAGCTACTGATTATTTCTTTCAGTTTATGATGTTGTTTTGAGGATACCCATCAATTATTTGACTGACGACAATTTGAAAAGTACTTTGTATGCGGGAAGACACATGATTAAATGTTTTCAATTAAGAGATGAGCACACGTTCTACTTCATGGAGTATCAAGATATACGTGCCCAGTTTGTAGCAATCATCTACACTTCATATGACTCTCGAGATGCTAATGTAGCGATGGTAGCCCTATATCCCGACAGTTGTGATGGCAGTCTCGGAAATGAAATCAACGTAAAATCAAATAAGGTAGAAGTATTGCTAGGTGGAATGAAATGGGCGTATTTTAAGGATTCAAAATGTGAAGGAAGGAATTTCCAAAGCAATCGCCTTCCTAATACCTTGTGGTCTTCTCAAAAACCCCAGGTAAGGTTAATCCTTAGTAACCCATGTTAAATGGCTACTGTAATTTATATAAGTTAGATCACAATAATTTGTTTAATTGGTAGGCCCTAACATTGATATAGTTAACCAAGGAAACTAGCATGAAAACGCATTTTAATTATTCACACATGAATTTCAAAATGGTCTCAATAAAATTAATAATTTATTTTAACTTATTAAATGTAACAGAGCAATAAATTTCACTTTTCATATATTCCTTGTAAGGTGTTTTTAATATACATCATATTGAAGTATTGTTTTGCATTACAGAATCCAAAAGAATCTAATGATCCATATATTGATAAATCTAAAGGTAAGTTAGATATCCAAAAGTACTTGTGTCATATAATGCAAATTCATGCTATCATGCCTTGTATTCCACATTAATAAAAAAATGATATAGTTATTACCATATTAGTATTTCACTTTTTGCCACTTTTATCTATGTTTAGTACATTGTTGGATAAGTTTTAATACATAAGTTTATTGAAATGGATTTTTTGTGTGTATAAAATACAATCTAAAATGCTCTTTAGGATGTGCTATGTTGTATTATTTACAATGATTCGGTGTGTTAGGATAATTATATTTATTTAATGATAGGTCAATTCGCTAGTACATTCGAAGACAATAGATTGTATATTCCTTATGGTCAAACTTATGAGCTTGTTATAAATTAGAGTGTATGAAATAAAAATTCTGACGCGTTTAAAGTTTACTCTAGATATTTTTTTCCGTAAAAAGAGAAAAATTAATAATATTACCTATTGCAATGTACTTATGTTGCATATTAATGAATGTAGGTATAAATACAATCAATGGATCTATTATGGAAATTTGTTTCATTGTCAGTGCTTTGCAAGAGGAGGATAATCCGGTTCTTAAAACCACTGTAAAAAAACTGTTACAATGGATTAGAGAGGCAAAACTCAATCCTACTCATCACTTATTTCAATGAAAATCGCTTATGTATAAATTGTGTGGCAGAACCAAAACTATTAACTTCATCACAATTTAAACAGAGAAAGTTTATAATGAAACCTGAAAGTAAAACGTAGTAAAAAGGTAAACAAACCATTATAAATCCAAACAGATGTCATGGCTTCACCTAAAGGGTCGGTCTTGGGCCCTCTGTTATTCCTAATTGATGTTAATGAATTTCCATACAGTATTGACTGTAAAATTATTTTATAATGCAGATGCCACCACCATTTTTGACTTATCTTAGGATATAGATTTGCTTGAAGACTGGTTCAGAATGGTTCTCTGCTAAAGGGTCCCCATTTAACCAGGATAAAACTCTCATCTGTAGCCTCAGAGCTCTGTTTGAAAATATAATAAGTCAACCTTTTAGGTATTACACTAGACCAATCACTTCCCTGGTATGAACATGTTAAAAAATTTACTCCAGGCTGAGCAGACTGGATTTTCTTTTCAGGAAGCTAAAAGAGCGGTCAATCCCACTAGCTATTTAAAGAATACCTATTTTGAAATTTTCCAATAATCTCTATATTTTAACCGTAGTTAGTCTATAAATATAACATTTATTGAAATATAGTTATAAGAACCTCGACTCTTTTAACTGCAAACTGGCTGTGCATACAAACTGTGATATTTCTTTAGACTACCTAACTTTTTTACCTGTTTTAGATATTTATTTAGCCCATGGATTTCCAAACTGTAATATCCAGTCTCATATCTCATTTAATGCCTTAGTTATTTTTTTTTACTCTTTGTAAAAGCCTATTTAATTATTTACAGAGAGTAAAGCCGATTAGGATATTTCTATGTCTATTATTTATATATAATATTTATGTATAATTTGCATCACACGTTGCACTGCCTCTTTATACATTATCTATGCACTATATTTGTGTTTATATGATAATAAACATTAATCTGATTTGAAAATTTTTAATGTGATTAGATACAACACTTTAATTTAGTTCATGTCCATCAGAGAGGAGTTTTACCGAAAAGAAATAACAAGTTTTTCATCAAGACCATTTATTTAAGTATGCATTTGATAGGCCTGTGGTTTATGGTTTTTAAGAAATTTGTGGCTCATTATAGAATATATATAAAGATTAATAAAGATTTTTTTTTAATTTCAGTTGAATACGTTCTTACTGATTTTGAAAAACGCTCTTATGGTTTCTTAAAAAACATAAAAATAACTATATATACTGAGTCTAAATATGTTCTGAAATGTTTCGAACTAAATGGCGAAGAAAGAAGGAAATTAGATTCCACTGCAAACTACTTGTCGATTCTATATAAAAAAGATATAGAAAATGGCAATAAAGAACTGGCCTTACTGATCATGACCTCTTGTGAAAATATGGACAGAAACATTATAAACCTCAAAAACGAAAAAATGGAAGTCTGGTTGTCGAATGATAATTGGTCGTATTTTGAATACTTCAAATGTAAAGGAAACACTTTTAGGAGTTCCCAACTGCCCGCCACAGAATGGATATTGCAGGACTTCAAGGTCTCAGACACCCAGGTATATGCTATGTCGATCTAACTTAGTTTGTACTTGCATTACTAATTATAAAATTCAAGGGAAGACTTTAAGGTATTTATTAATCAAGTATATTATAAGAAATGGTTTTTATTCCCGTCACAATATGGATATTTTAGCACTAAAGGTGTTGATTGAATTATTCGCTACCTTGTTTGCTAGCCTTTCTTTCTGCAAGATTTTTGAAGTTTACACAACTATCTTTCGCCATATATAATATATAATAGCTAAAATTCGTTTACAGTCCTGGCAACAAAGACAATATAGCGGGGAAAAACTATGTTTGAGCCAAATATGGTACATTTTGCCAACCATTACCGTAGTTTTTATTATCTTAGTTTTACTGTAGTTTTTTACCGTAGTCTCATGGTAAGAACTAGACCCGGAACCAATTATGTTGTTCGTTTGAGGTCCACAGAAGCCAAAAAACCTTCAAATTCATATACAGGGTGTCCCGGAACTCTCTACCAATATTTTAGGGCATTGTTCCTGGGTAGTTAACATACCTAAATATCATATTTAAATTGTCCGGAAGTCCTTAGTTACTCACATAGCCGCCATTTTGTTTTTTTAAGTTATTAATTTTTTTTTAGGAATGGTTAAACATACGTAATTGAAACTTTGCACAAACATTTATGACAACTAGACAAAGTTACCAAAAATTTATGACGAGTTTTAAAATTCATAAAACAAAATGGCGGCCATTTTAAATTTTGTTTCTTAAATAACTCGAAAACCGTTGGTTTTACAAAAATTTTAGAAGAATAACTTTTTTAAGGCAATTTTATTACAAATTGATTGACACCTTAACTTTGAAGATTAGACAAGTATTAACTGAGATATGTTAGTTTTAGTGATACGTGACCGCTTTCAGCATGCGCTGCAACTAACCTCCAGCGGTTACGTATCACTAAAACCACCATATCTCAGTTAATACTTGTCTAATCTTCAAAGTTAAGGTGTCAATCGATTTGTAATAAAATTGCCTTAAAAAAGTTATTCTTCTAAAATTTTTGTAAAACCAACGGTTTTCGAGTTATTTAAGAAACAAAATTTAAAATGGCCGCCATTTTGTTTTATGAATTTTAAAACTCGTCATAATTTTTTGGTAACTTTGTCTAGTTGTCATAAATGTTTGTGCAAAGTTTCAATTACGTATGTTTAACCATTCCTTAGAAAAAAATGTATAACTTAAAAAACAAAATGGTGGCTGTGTGAGTAGGCCTAACTAAGGACTTCCGGACAATTTAAATATGATATTTAGGTATGTTAACTACCCAGGAACAATGCCCTAAAATATTGGTAGAGAGTTCCGGGACACCCTGTATATATTTATAAATGTCTATTAGTACGATAACTAAAAACAATAAACTGTATCAACAATCTGACACACACTTTTTTAGCTTGTCAAACACCGTTATCATGGGTAAGCGATAAGAGTAACCATGATATTTTTGATAGGTAAAATCACAAAAATATCATTAACTTTTGAACCGTTTGCACTGTTTAGTTTAGAATTATAAGGACCATAACAGACGAAGTATTTCAAACAGAACCGGTCTTTTTTTTAAATATACTTTTCCGTTTTTTCATCGGTGTTGATGGGATAATAACATAAGTTACAATCAATTTTGTACCGTAGTTTTTACAGAAATTGAAGTGTTACCATTTTGTTCAAAACTTAATTGGCTACAACATACTAAATTTTTATCAAAATCGTGTAAGCCAATTTCGAGGAAATTTTATTTTTAAAAACTGGCGATACCATGGATTATTACCTACAAACCAAATTTCATCAAAATTGGGCCACAGGTATAGGGCCACTACGTATAGGGGGAGGAAGTAAAAGTGTATTAACAAAGTAACTGGTTTGTAAACATTATCTCAAATTGTAAAAATGCACATAGATTACCTCCTTGTAACAAAACACCTATATCTTTGGGCGAGAAAAAATTTGTAAACAAAAAGTTATTACAATAATTCAAATTACTAAAACATACAAACATTGTTGTTATAACTCATTTTCCATGAAAATCAATTGATAAAAAAATTTTAATGAGCTTAACTTTGAAAACTCAAGGGCAAAATGTAGTTATTGTCAGCAAAAATTGCATGAATCATCTACTGGATAGACGTTATAAAATCCAAATTAACCACGACAGTACAATGTATTAAAGTCCAAAAAGGACGAATTAAAAATAGAATATTAGTTTTAGACAAAAGTCTTTTGGGAAAATTTTAAGAATAAAAACAAACCAGAGTTGGATAAATATAAATCTTGATAAAGATTAACATGGAAACCTTGTTTTCCATATTGACAAATGTTTACCGAGAACCACAGTTAATATAACAGGTATTATTCTAAGTCAAAATCCTATTACTAATGAGTTTTTTTTGTTTGGCTTACTACCTGGATATTTTAATGATTAATATTATCACACATTTGTTTTAGGTGATTCAAGATACGAAAGAATCGAGAGGTAAGAAGTATTATCAATTAAATATCCGACAATCCCAAATACTCTCCTAGGAATTGTTGTACCGATGAAAATTTCATTGAATTTAACGCTAACTGAATTCATACATAGGAATTCTTGATAACGGCTATTAATTTATTCTATAGTGAATAGTGCAGACTCCTGTAGTAAATGTTTGCGTGATTGTTGAAAATACTAGTAACATGCTCCGTGTAGGTTACGTTACGACCAATCGATGGTTGTTCTGCAGATTGCTGGTGTAGTACTTAACTAAACACGAAAATCTCTTTAGTAAATATGCCAACGAAGTTGGTTCTTTAGTATTAACAAACTTGGAACTATCTACAAGTCATTTAATCATATGAAATCATTGTGTAAGTATTACAATAGTTCTGTTTTTGGTTGTTTTTTTTACGGACGGAGTGTTGGACTTGTTGGAAGCGTGATGACATTTATCAGCTCTGAAGGGGGATGCCACAAGGTCTGAGTGCTCTTTTCTCAGGGTTCAGACTGTGTCCCTCTTAGGATAGCGGTATGGTGGCAATGGTTCCGATATCGGACTGGTTGCAGGAGCAAGGAGCCAACGATAGTGGGCAAGGCCTCTGGCTCCATGACCTTAGGTGGTAAATACACTCTCGGCTTCTAGGATCTGATTTTGTAGCCAGCTTTTCATGGAAAGAGTCTGTTTCTTTCCCTTATCTTTCCAGGAACTGATCTTGCTCCGGTTTATAGCTTTAAGGTGTTTGCACCTGCTGGTCCTATGCTAAGCCCATATTCCATTCATACAAAGTCGGTTCCCTAGCGGGCTGCACCACTCTTCATATACCATGGCGCACTGTAATTCAGAAATTTTGGGCGTTAACCACTCAGAGAGCACAGATAATCCCTCAGTAGACCAACCTTTTTCGCCAACTGCTTTTAACGCGAGTGAGATCAGACTTACCTTGCGTTAGCTCCTGATTCCTCCCTGGGTTACTTTCCACACGTGTTGATTCATTCAGTTTCCAGAACCAACCTTATATTTGTCAGTCTCTACCTATGTAAGGGTTCCAATTCCTCCGTAGTGGGGACGCCCTGGTTAACATAACCCTAATTTACCCTCATGTTAATACTGTATATCGTTAATGCGTAGGCCTAAAGCAAACAGTGAATAACGAAGTTTAATTGGGAGGATGTCTAATATATGAAATCAAAGACTGTTGATATAACTTTAATTCAATCATTACCTTTCTAATTAAGGTTTGCATTAGTGATAGATTTATATTTTTTTTGTTTTCAGTTAAACGTGTTTATACACATCTGGATCCACCTTCCAACCCAAAGTTTGCAGACATTAAAAAAAATATCAAGATTACTGCGTATTACAGGGAGTATATACTGAAATGCTATGAATTAGAAGACAAGGCGGAACCTGGCAGTGTCCCAGTATACAAAGCGATAATCGAAACGAAACCTCAAGGATGGAAAGACAAACGCTTGCTATTTTCAATGGATATGAAATCATGTGATAACATGGACACGAACATTATGAACTTCTTTTTTGACAGTCGTTTTGAAGTTTTTACCGAAAATGATGAGTGGTTATATTTTGAAGGGTCTAATGAAGGTTTTCATTACATTGAGTCCCGTACTCAAAACAGTATTCCAGTTAGTAGGTGGAAATTACAAAAGCCTTAAGTTACCCAGAACGACCCCAAAAATGGACCTGTATGTATTCTTTTACCAGCTGCAATTCAAATAAAATAATATATATTATATTTTTCTTTAATAAATTGATCATCTAAAAATATTGCGTTTTTTTAAATTTATTAAATTATTAAATTTACAATACCTACTGCCTACTATTTTATGCTATGCTTTTAAATGTAGAATTTTGCAATTATTATTAACAATATTATTACGCATTATTATTACAATATTATATTAAGGCAACATCATGTTACAACACTACTATTACTATATTATTAATTACTAATTAATTACAAAATTACTAATTCCTAATTAACTATTACTATTATTATCCGTGAACACAAAAAAAACATGTTACAACAATATAATTTTAATGCCATCAGTCAAAAATAATATCGGTGAAAACCATAGGTCCCTATCTCAACCCAGAACAAAATGGTGACAGTTTCTGTTATTAGGCTTTACATTTAACATTTTTGAGCTGCCCCAATATACATAATTATGGGTTCCCAGGTGAAACTGTCATATCTACAACTAAAAATTACACAGTTTTTTTTTTTAAAGAGACAAGCTTTCCTAAAACAACCCGAAAAAAATGTTACTATGAATGCATATTTTTAAGTGGGGTCTCTCAGGTTGATGAAAACTAAAAAGCACCACCATATCGTACTGGTATTTGACAGGGACTTCTAGTTTTTGCAAATATTCTTTTTAACTCACGGCCTTTAAAATGAATTGTTACTTGTTGTGGCTTTGTTTTAAAAGTTTTTGAGGTGTGCCCGAAACACCCCATTTTGGGTTCCCGGGCAAAATTGTCAAACCAACCAAAGAGTAGTTTTTAGTTTCATGTAACGATACAGTAATACTGAGTTTAGTTTTCCTGGTACAACCCATAGAAAAGTTAATAGGGGATATTGATGTATATTTTTACACAGGGTATCTCAAGCTGATGAAAAATAAAAAATGGCTGCCATTCTGTAATGAATTGAGATAGTGACTTTTAATTTGTTCTTATATTTTTGGAGCCAATGACCTTGAAATGAGCTATTATTTGGTGGGGCTTGTATTTAAAATTGTTGAGCTCCCCAAAATAATTCATTTTGGGGTTTCACACAAATGTGAATCCATCAAAAAAGGGTACTTTTATAACAATTAAAGTTGTGGAGAATTTGATTTTCCTGGTGTAACCCACTAAAAAGTTGATAGGGGGTGTCCATTGTCCATATATATATATATATATACTACAGAGTGTATATATATTATGTTTTATATATATATATATACAGGGGGACAATTAAGTATTAGAACGAATTTTTAACTTTTGAGAAAAAATTATTACTCAAATTTGTTAATCAAAAATAATTCCCATTGTCTGTGTGTTCAACGATTTAGGGTAGGAATGGGGATTGTACCTGGAAGAAAATGGAGAGTAGATAATAGGATTCAATTACTTCACAGATAAACGAATAACGTGAAACTTTTCCACAAAACAAGTTGTTGAAATGTTTTTTATTTGCTAAATGCATTTTCTTCAACAACCAACGAGAAACACATAAAAATTTGTATAAAGAAATTAATTACGTATTGAAGTCCATAATTTTTTTTATTTTTACAACAAACTAACGCTAGATGATAACGCGAATAAAATATTCGAAAAATGTATTAAATACTGGCGTTGATTCTTAATACATAAAACAATATTGTCGTGAATATTGAAAGCTATATATCACTTGTAATTCTATTTCTGTGCGGCTCAATGCCCCGCAAAAAACATATGAATTTAGAAAACAAATTCATCGCGTTAAATATATTGACTCGAAGTCGAAAATTAAATACAGTAATAATAGAAGGGAAGCAGTCCAGTCATTTTTAGCTGTATTCTTGTGCTGCAAATGCCAAAGATAACCGAAATTAGCATCTTTCCATTTTAAAAGGTAAGTTTGTTTCAGACGGGCAAATTTTTATCCTCGAAATCAAAATATGTCCCTACTCACTTGTTCCAGTTAGGACTTTACATTCTACTTTACATTGTTGTTAACCGTTCTGATCACACGAAGCCTTGTGAGGCCCTTTTTGATGTATTAATATCAATAAAACCACTGCCCCATTTTATTAGTATAATCTGTGTCTTGGCAATTCACTGACCTCTATATTTAAAAACTCAGTTGGAATTTCTAGATGGGTGTCTCCGCCTTCGTCTGTTTTCGAGGACTCACTCTTCTTCCCCTTGGCATACTGACAATTAATTACCTAACTTGTCAAGTTCATGTAGTAATTCATTAATACTGTTAGTTTACATAGAAAATTAGATAGAAGTTACTTGGCTTGGTGCTTTCAAAACTGCTAACTCAAAATACACCCAAGTAAAAAAGAATCAAGTTATTGGTTAAAAAAAACTATGTTTGTGTAAAAACGTTATTTACATGAAGTAGATGATTTATTTGATTTCACGATCAGCTGTTTCGTTTCTAATGATTTAGTAATGTCAAAGATTTGTGATTTTAAATACATCAATTATTATAATAAGGTTTTCTAAATCATGGTAACTTATTCTCAACTAAATTTTACTATTCCCAGCATTAAAATAAAGTAGTGAGATCCATTATGAGTAAACTTTAAGGTACACAATCCTTGATTGAAATGTAGTATACATTAACAGTCATAATACACAGCAATTATTATGTAGTAAACTTTGACTATTTTCAAGTAACAAACATATGTTTGTGTAAATAAAAATTATCTCCCATGTTATCCTTATGGAGAAATACGAAGCTTTAAAGGGCCCCAGGGCCTCACTCTCTAATTATTTCCCTAAAAAGAAAGTTTCCTGCACAACTTCACGTTACGCTCTTTCCAATGACACCAAAAACTTGTCAATCGGTTTAATAGTTTCGGAGGAGTAATTGTCACAAAAAACCTGCTTGCGTATTAAATAAGTAATAAATAAATAAATAAATAAATAAAATAAATAAATAAATCGTTAAGGGGACTTAAGTCATAATATTGAAAATTATCAAGTTGAATGCATTTACAAGCAAGACTTGGTGACAAAGAACATTAAGGAAAAATCCACACGCATTAAATTATTCTATTGCCCATTCTTGAATGATAAGGCAGCATCTTGGCTTTATGGCTTGACGGATTGTTTCCTAATGGCATCTGAGAGAAATTTAATTTATTTTATGGACACTTTCACTTAAAGAGTAAAGCTTTTAGATATTGTCATAGGACAATCTTTCGGACCATTTTTGCTTCTTCTACTACAAAGACAGTATTTCGTACACATACTCTTTAATTTTTTATAGGTAAAACTATAAACAGATATACAAATATTGTTTATAGCTTCGTTGAAGTTGTATACGCATTTAGCTGTGCATTAAAATTGCGTTTGCCTGTTATTAAAAACAGCCAGGTTTATATTTTTAATCAACTGCCAAATGAGTCTACTTATCGTGTGTTTTCATTTCTCTTAAACTGACCCAATGATTTACACTACATTACATTATTTTGTTCTTAAAGATGTGTATGGTTATAAACACTCTATAAATCTATTTAACAAGTGACACAATCACTACGATAAATGTTTGTACTCATGCTTTCAATGAAACTAATAACAGCGCTTTTGTTTCATTTGGCCACAATCAAGACAAACTCTCTACTGTTACCTTGACCATGCGTTGGACTGGAACCTAATCGTTGGTTTTATTGTAATTTATTGCGCTGCCTACTCTGTTTCAACTCTGCAGAGTTTTTGAAGAAAAAAAGTCTTTATGAATACCTAATCATGTTTCCATTGAATTGCAATGTCTTAGTACCTAACCACTAATAATAAAATATGAAAACTAGGATTAGGGCTAATCTTTTATCACTCTTCAAGGAAAATCCTTTTAAATAGACACAACTCTTGGATTCATGTACCTGTCTTGGATTCTACTTGCATTCATGGTGGAAGTAAGACCCATACTACGTTTACCCTTAATCTATTGAGTGTTAGAAAAACCAACTTACGTGTATAGTTTTACAAAAATCCATTTTACGAAGAAGTATGCCAAATTCCGATCTGAAATTTGACATTAAAGAAATCAGAAATCTTTATTCACCATTAATAAAATTACATGAAATAGCCAACATATGTAAATAGCCTAAACTAAGATTTTTTTACAATATCCAGGTGTACTTACATCAATCATCACTTGATACTATTAACTTGATGTCGTTACAAGTCATCTATCTTGTAATACCGTGGTGAATTACTACTACTAATTACTTTCCATATTATATTATTATATATAATATATTATATATATTATGTAATATATTATATATTAATTATATAATATATATAATGTATTACTATTATTACTGTTATATTATTATTATATTATTATTATTATTATATTTTTTATATTACTTTTTGATTTAGCAGTTTTAATCAAGAATACAATTTACTTATATAAAATGTCACTAGTAGGTTGTTTAAAATTCACCCTAAGCTGTACGTCACCCTATTCATAACAATGATAAGAAAAGGTTTTTTACTTACTCTACGTTGTCTATGTATTAAATATCAACGATAGTGGCATGACATCTTGAGACCTATAACCAACAAAATCCATTTTTGTATGGTCCCACTACTAGGTCTTCTGGAGATCACATCAATATGCAGATTCAACTAGGCCAACTATAAAATAAATAAATAATGGTCTCTCGTTCAAAAAGTTTTTAATTGTGTAGATTTCTACGCCTAAATATCTCAAATAAAATACTTTAAAAATAGATATATAAAAAACTTTTAAGTTTTAAATTTAAAACTTTGAAAAAACTTTAAATTAATGTTAACGTAGTCCAATTGAGACATAAATTGACAAAATCCATTTAAAAAATGTATAAACTAGAAGAACTAAAATTACATTTTAGAAGTGGTTGCCAATTTTTACTGTTTCTCTTGATCTCTAGGATTAACTCTGGATCGTATAGTTTCTTTGTGACCGTTAAGGAAATCTACAAGAAGTAAATGTAGTGTATCATGCATACAAAACATTGCTCTAGGCTATACACCAATTATATAGCCTAAAAAACTGTTATTTGTGAAACGAATAGTATCAATCGTTGGTTGC